GTCAAAAATGCTGGTTTTTCTTTCATAACATTGTTTATGAATGGATCTCTCAATACGGATCTTTATGCTGCAAAACACATTACCTACACATTCTTTTTCTTGCCTATGCCGAATAATTGATTGTATTACGTAAGAGTCTGAAATTTTTCTCTCTCTCTTTTCAAAGTGGACACAATGGTAATAATTCAATAGATTTATCAGAAGAGAAGAGAAAAGAATGTGATCGTGTCCTTTCAAATGAGATGGAGTGAATCAGAAAGGAAGAAGCGCACGACATATCACAGACAAAAAGGACATAAAATGTCGTGAAATCGGCTTGTTCATACCGTTGATGGAATATAAAGAGAAGAATATGCGGCCAGCGGCACCTAATGAACATTAATACCCGATACAAAACTATATTCTTCTAATGCATTTTTGTGTTTATTTTTTAAACGTTTTGTTTTAATATTTTTTTCCTTTTTTTTCAGAAAAGAGTGAACACAGAGGAAGGAAAAAGGCGAATTGCTTGGGGGTAGAGTGAAGGCGCCTAGTGTCAGAACATCAACTGATTGTGATTGAAAATTTATGTGTCGCCGAATCTTTTTCTATCACGTTAACAGTCATGCCTTTAATGTGTTTAAATACGGCAGAAGGCATTGCGCATATCAAGTGATTTTTTTATTGAAAAATTGAAAGAAACAAAAATCGTGATTTTAAATTCATTTTAACCTTTGATTTTGTCGTCATCGTCATTGTCTGTCCTTTTGTTAACACTGAATTATTAGCATTTATCTAGTGAAATATATATGAAGAAAAAAAATTGTTTTTTCCCTGAGATTGTGTCATCGACTCGCATTTTGTATAAAATACTAACAACTTTTCGATATATTTTATGATGAGACTCGTCACAGCCATTTAAAATTCATATCGATTATTGGCATCTCATAAATATTGAATTTCGATAATCAAATATTTTGAAAATAACGAATTTATGGATGATGATTCAGACTCTGAATTTCAGAGTCGACAGACCCATTTCGTTGTGAGAACTGAGAAGGAATTTCGGGCGTTCATTGAAAAAATATGTAATTTTTGCTTTTAAAACGGTTTCGAATCGTTTGTCCAATTGAAAAAGAGTCACTCTTCCTTGAGATCAACGGGAGGTGAAAAATAGAAACAACGACATTTTTGCGCATTATTCGACACAAAACGATGGAAATCTATAACAAACGGAATGTCATTTTTCATTTTTCATAACTAACAGTCTTCGTTTATTGTCTTACAACAGTTCTTTTTTCATAAACACACACCCACACACACTCATTTTACACTGGAAAAGAGTTGTTCATTTACAACAGTAATGCACCATGGTTAATGTGTAAGTTCATTGTGTTTCGTGTTTATGATGTGCAGTGTGCATTGTGGTTCTAAGAACATTTCTTATGTTTTTATATTGGCGTTTTTGTCCAAACAAAAAAATTAAGAAAAAGACGCAACCCCATACTGATTTTGTTCATAAAATTAAACAATAATTTTATAGTTAGTTGAAGTACCCTTTTTGCCGACTCTTTCTTCACACATGCGCATTGAATATTTTTCCACATTGTTTTAAAATATGATCGTCTCTCTTCCTACATATGCATATCTTATACATTCCTTTTGCGTTTGGATTTTTGCATTTTAAACAACGGTTCCGCTGCATGAATCGGTAACACACACCCAGTGCGACGAACTATTTTACCTGACTTCGTCTGCGTCTGAGTAACAGAGCCAAGACTACAATGTTAAGAGTTGGTTACTTGACCTTCACTTTTATTACTCTGTACAAACAGAAGGTGGCGGTTGCATTACTTCTTTTCATTCCTTCTCTCCTCCTTTTTCACATCTTTTTCTTCTTCTTCTTCTTCTTCTTCTTTTGTGTATTCCGATTTCTGCTGGTATGAATTCAAAACGGCAAATATTCTATGCATGAACAATTTGAAAGAAGCATATTTTCGTTGTATGAATTCGGATCACCCCTACAATTTTTTGATCATTAATCAATATTTGCTAATTCTTTCATGTTGCTCATTTTGAAATTAGATTTTCTTTATTTTCACATTACTCCGAAAAAAATGCTCTTTTTTCTCATTTTCATGTTGTTCGATGACCGAATTTCGTTTCTGGCTTTTTTTCTTCATTCAGGATTCGCCTTTCACTCTTTATTTTTTGCTCGTCATTTTTTTCTCAAAAAGCAATGTCCATCTGCCTGAAATCACATGATGCGCTGGAATTGGGTCGAAAACAATGTTTTGACTTTGCAACACATTTATGTCATTTTTCATCGTTTTTAAACTAATTTCATATGTTGTGTGTGTATTTTTCTTTATGAAAATGGAATGATTCATCAAATTTTACTCGAAAAAATCGATTTCAGTTCAGCCAATTTCGGCACTTTGATATTTTATCCGCTTTTTTGTTCTAAAACATGAATTTATTCAATGCTTTCGTTTCGAGAAAAATTCTCTATGAATTTATCTTTTGTCTATGGTGCAATTCATGTATGTGTCGCATATTTTGTTATGCCATTTTTACACTTGAAAAAAAAATGAATGTTTACTCTACGTAAAATAAATGAAAGAAATTTGCATTCTGAGAAGCAGTTTTTTTTTCTTGCAAAAAAAGAAACTGTATGTGTGCAAAAACAAATAAAAATGTAAACGGCAAAGAGCCAACCCGTTGCATGTGACAACGACAAATGGATACAGAACAATTAGTGTGCCTTATTTAAAGTGTGAGCAAAACCCTTTCCGAGAATGAGTTCTATTGTTGTTGTTGCTGTTGCTTCAATGCACTTTCCATCGTTGCAGTGTGTTAAATGTAATCGTGTAAAGCGGAAAAGAAAGATGAATGCCAAAAACATGAATGTGCAACTATTGTTTGTGCATATTTGTCCGAAATAGTAAATATTTTTCGTAAATGGACACAAATATTTTTTATAATTAGTTGGGATTAGTTTTTATTGATGCCTCGTAAATCATGCATTTCGAATGCAATGTTTTTCTCTATGTGTGGTGTCTCTTCTGTAGAATGGAAAAGAGTAAAAATTTACAACTTCCGAAAACGGTTTTGACATATGCATAAATCCGAACATATTTTCCGAGTTAAAAATGGTTATAAAAATTCAGCAGGAAATACGATCATATTCCTATTGAATTAGGGTAAACTGAAATGAATGAGCAGATTTTCGCTTGGAAATTGCATAAATCACACTTCACTTAACAATACAAAATTCAAATTGAATTTTAAGCGATTTTAATTATTTTGACCGACGATGACAACAATCAGACAGCCCATCAGATCATTTAGATGCATATAATTGCATGCGGTGAATATCACTTGAACCTTTGATCCTTCGATACTCGAGAGTGTGAACAAAAAAAAAACAGTGTCAGAGAGCGTGGCTGAAAAACTTTTAGTAACTGTACATTGTAGTGCCTGTTCACAGAGATTGAATCATGGAATCGGAGTGATAATTCAATTGACCATTTATTAAAGCCCGGCTGACCTCAGTCGCAGTTCACTCTCATTTTGACCGTACATAAATGAGAAACATTTTCGTTGGGCCAAATATTGCATTTACCACATCAATTTACATTTTCGACGAATAAATAAAATAGATTGAGAGCAAGAGCGAAAAACAATTTCAATGGATATGAAATTTTCAAGAGGCCAAAGCAATAAATGCAAAATTGAAAAACGGAGGGCATCATTTTACTGCTGGTACAATTAATCAAGACTCAAATTACCGTCAAATGTTATACCGCTGCAAATGTTGCAAATATTGATTCGATGATGAACGCCAATACGATTGTCCCTCTTTTGCATTGCACTATGAAAACTGATGTGACAGACAATTTACGGGCAATTGTAGCACGGTTATAGTTTTGCGTTTTATTTATTACACTTTCGAAATTGAATCGAAACCATGACTCGTTCGGTCCAGTTATGCACAGACAAAGTGCAATTTCGATTTTATTACTTTTCATCATATATCTGTCTCTATTTGTAGAATAGTGTATGCGCGCGGGTTTAAATTCTTTGCCCATTGTGACCACTCATGAAATGACCAATTTAGGCAGATGTAAGCCGGCATTAATGTGTGAGTGTGTGCGCGTTTGAAAATCGTTTCATTTGTTATTCGATGACAATCCTTTATTATATTGAAACGAAATGGACGTTCTCCGGTTTCTCAATTGAATGTTTCATAACGGAAACAATTTCATTTCAGAATTCGGCAACATTGCAACCGAAATGCAATAAAATATGAATTGAATTAAATTTCATTTCAAATCGATCGATCACAATTTCCACACTCTTAATGAGGGGATTAAATTTTATATGTGTGCCATAGTTTTCTATGTGTGTGTGTACTCTACAATCTCTCAATTGATGACCATTGTCCACTCGACAAAACCATGAGAATTGCTTTTGTTTGAATTATCACATTCGATTCAATGCGAACGCGATTACTGTGTGACACACATTGCCATTTTCATTGTTAAACTACATGCATCGGTCAAATTGTTCCAATTCTATAGAGAGACATGTGTAAGGGCGTATCAAATTGTCACACACTTAAATTGGTCGCTCTGTTTGTTATTTCAAAAAATTGCTCACTACTGCGAATTTGCTATTCTGAAGGGTCATCATCATACACGCGCTATAAAACTAATCGAAAACGTCTTGATAATTTACGATATCTAAAAAAATACGCTTTGGCCGTAATGGAAGATGACGAATTCAAGTATGTAGCTTCCTGTAAGTTGAGAATATTTTTAATTTTAAACATGTTTTAATACAAGCTGTGAATCATAGCTCTTTAGGCGTATATCGTTGATAAATAGTAATAATATTTATACAGCGACAAAGCGTGTAGATAAAAACCGTTGATTCATTTTTACACAATAACAACATGATAAGATATCAGCTTTTTTACGTATGAATCGATCTACAAATAGCCGAAGCAAAATGCACTTCAACAAATTGCAAAGTTGACAGAATAAAAACGAGCGCACAACTGTTTAGTTCTGTCGGTTTCATTTTTAATTAAATTTTAAATGTGTTTTGACTGTTGCGACGACACAATGAATAATAACATTAGCACCTCAACCACAGCTTGGGATTCAAGCAATCCTCAGGTAAGTTATTTTATTTAAATCACATTTTCAATATATTTGAAAATATAAATATTGAACATAGTTTAAATGACATAAAGAATTGAGTGAAATTGATTAATTGTGTTCATTTTAAATTACAGCCGGGAATTGGTAGTAATGTGGTTTCATCACAACCAGGATTCATTGGTGCTGGCATGGTCTCATCACAAGTAGTGACGGACAGTGGATATCCTGGAAATCCGAGTTTTGGTGGAGGAATCAGCTCGTCACAAGTAGTGACAGACAGTGGATATCCTTCAAATCCAAGTTTTGGTGGCGGAATCAGCTCAACACCCAGTTATGGCGGTGGATTTGGAGGTATGGTCGAAACAACTCCAAGTTATGGCACCGACGGTGGAATGGGAAGTCACCAATATACTACAGACAGTTCAAACAATTTGGGTCAGTACAGCAATGAAATGAGCTCTTCATCATACAACACAAATTCATATTAAATGAAATAAAAATCAAATTAAAGAGATGATTATCAAACACAAATTACGTTCTTTTAAAATTAAATAAATATATCAGATAAATCGCCTTATATTGAAAAATAATATATCAACACATAACCTATCAAAAGAACAGTTTATATAAAGACAAACTCAATTTACACCGATATTTTTCTTTTTTTTTCATTTTATTTGTGAAATCTTCATTAAAAATTCACCCCTGGTATTGAAATAATAAAAAAATACATGAAACAAACAAACTCAAGTAATATTGTTATTATCTTTTCGCTGAATGTTAAAATACTAGAAGAACACTTGAAAGGTAATATTATTTTCGTATTGTGCTCTCTTTACTCACAGTTTATTCATATCGTTTGCCATCACATCAAAGTCTTTGAAAAACCTTCAACCGCAAAAATGCCTATAGTCTTCATTGCACGTTTTGTATGAATGTTAGCCATAGTTTATCAATTCAAACTGATAAAACACGAAAGTAATAAATATTGTCAATCGATAAGAGGTATAGAATATTCGATTAATAATTACAAATCAAGTACTAATCAGGTGCTCATGCGATAAGATATCGACATTTTACTCCTTCCGTACCTACGCTTAACATGAAGATAGATCGCGTTTAACACGCAAAATTCATCAGAATTACTACAGATTCGAATTGGTAAGGTTCAAGTTTTTAAAGTAGAAAAAATGTGTTTAACCTGTTTGTGTTGCAAAAAGAATACAAAAACTATACCAATTACGAACGATGCGATTCCGGTTACACCCAAGAATCCCGGCACATTTATACAAAAAGAGGTAAATTATAGAATGAAATGTCTGCCAAATCAACGAAGAAATTTATAAAATTTAAATTTTTCTTCCCAGACAAGCAAAGATCGTGCAGTAGTATCATCGCAACCAGTTGGTCGTCCAAGACCAAATAATCTACCAGAGAAGGGCACAAAACGACCAATTTCATCGATTCAATTGCCCAATATAAAACTTCCCAATTCTGGCCATGCCAATACACCATATAATACACCAAGCAATCCTCAAAACCCAGATATTGTAGTCATCGAACCGGAAAATCAATTGAATACCTCACAAATTGCGACTGATAGTAGGAATGGAACTTCAGACTCCGAAATCGTTGGAGAGCTAATACCATCGACCATTGTCGAAAATGGTCCCAAATCGGAATCAGAGCCAAAACCAAATGCAGAAAGTCAAATTTCGACTTCGCAAATCGTCATTAAAAGTGGAACTAATACTGAGTTTCCAAACCATGAACATGCTAGTGAAACACTTCAAACTACAGTGATTTCATCAAAAACTGTTGAAAAAACGCGAGAAAATGGTGAAATTATAAATGGCAAAAGTGAAATTGAGAAAAATTTGTCTCAAAGAACCGCGGTAAGTTCATCAAACATTGAATCAACCAAATGTGAAGTACATTCAGTTACATCATCAACAACGAAGGTGACTTTATCACAATCGACAAGTGCTGGACTGATTAATGGGGTTATCGCTTCGGAAACAACAAATGATTTAGCTAACAAAAATGTGATTTCAAGTGTAAATGAACAACCTGCTTTAGTGGTTGTTTCGGAACCGGCCGGCCAAATCGATTCAAAAATCGAGGTTACTCCATCAGAACCGATATATGCTGTGCCCCAAAAGAAAAAGGAAGAACATCAAATGTTAACCACTGAAGTCGTTGTTGGTTGTTCCCCGGTGGATAGCTCGAAGAAAACTGATTCAACTCAACAAATGGCTGCAACGATTGAGGTCACTTCATCTGAACCAATTTATGCGGTGCCCTATAAAAATAAAGAGGCAGAGTTAAATGGGCATATCAAAGTGGAAAGTGTTGAATTGCGAGATTCCAAGGAAATAAATCGAGAGGTGTCCTCTGAAAATCGAAGCAGTACCTTTGAAGCATTCAAAAATTTCGTGGGTGGATTAATGTCATCAGTTTCATCACATTCATTGTCGGCTGAACCAAAATTAAATGGAGATAGTCACATTTTATCTTCTGTAATCGTCAACGATAGTGATAAGATGTCTAAAGATTCTGCAGTTGATGTAAAAGTAGAATCAAAAATTGAAGATGTACCGGAATTGAATAAAAACTCGGAAGAAAATCAAGTGGTTACTACTCAAATTCTTACGAATGGTTCAACAGACGTTGGCTTATTAAGTCCTGCGTTAGTTAGAGAAGTTACAACTTCCAAAATTGATGTGCTCCCATCAGAATTCTTTCTTTTCAACGATGCAATTTCATCATCTGTTACAACAAAAAGTAGCTCTTTTGTCGAGTTACCAAATGATGGATACCACAAAGAAGTGTCATCATCAACAGTTGAGGTGATTTCATCGCAACCAAAATCGGAAATGGATATACTTGGAAACGATGAAAATCATGTTATTTCTACGGTAACTGTTACAACTGGTCCAACTATTATTGAACACTCTACATCGGAGTATAATTCAAAAACTGACCTATCTTCAGAATTGACGGCATCCAAAAGTTCTTTCGAAGAAAGACATACGGCGAGCACATCGTATGAGTCAACAACCGAGCAGCATTTTACTAGCACTCACGCATATAGCAGCAGCAGTTACGATCATCACGTTGATACCTACGATTCATATGATCGCAGCTCACCAGTTGACCATAGCAGTAGCTACGATACACACGATTCAAACGACGGTAGTACATTTGATTGTGACTAATTTCATTTAACTTTCAAATATTATACTGTATAATAATCCATCATTGAATCGATGAAAAAATAAAATATAAACATGTGCAGAAATCGCAAATAAAAGGATATTCGATTCATTAAAATTGTTAAACTGTTGAATGGTTTTGAATTTTTGTTTCCAAAATTGTTTGTTCAGCCGCTCAAATCCGACTTTTGGCGACAGTTTTCTATTTGCTTTGAAAAAAAAAATCGGCAATTTAGAGCAATACTTTTTTGTCAAAGTTGCACTCAATATCTCTGAAATCAAAATCGGATATAATCCATGGCATTCAAACTGAAAGAAAAGATCGATTGTACTGTGTGTTTATTTTCTATTATTCCCAAACATATAGTTCTACTGCACAAATACAACCTCAATCTTTTTAATCACACACACAACCGGTGCATTTGTGTCGGTATCTTTTCAGTCTCCATATCATTGGCCGGCTTCTAGAATATAACAAAGCACTCAAATATTGGGCTATGTCAACAAAAATATGATTCAAATATTGTTAATAGTCGTCGTTTTATTTTTTCTCTTCTCTTTTTTTTGCAATCCATTGTACTTCGTAATCGTTGTCATCGATTGTTGTCGGCAATGTTTCTCTCTCTCCCCTCTCTCTCTCTCTCTCTCTCTCTCTCTGTTTATTCCTTTCCTTCAATTCTTGTTTGTTGTATTTCATAATTATTTAAGAACTGATGACACGTATTTCGGTTACATTTTGAGATTATAGCAGGGTACAGCACTTTTTTTTAGTTCACTTTGATTCAATGAATTATTTGAATTGGTTTCAAGCCAAAAGCTGATATCGGTATTTTAGATGAAATTATTTGATAAAATTAATCAGTTCTTTAATTCAGTCCCATATTTGATTAAATTTAATTTTTTCGGTTTATTGCGCACCAAAAATATTGAGTCATTTTGCGCGGCACATTAATAGATAATAAAAGAGAGAGAGAGAGAGAGA